AGCACTGCAGAGGACTCTGGGGGTGTCCCTGTCCCACCACCCTCCACCCCAGTTCACCTGGTCACGGAACATGAGGGAGATGATCTCCAGGACGTGCAGGGACCATTGCTGCTCAACCTGGGCACTGGCCAGGAACTTGAGCAGGTCGTCCATTCCACTGATGTGCAGCGCCCACAGCACTCGATCGTGAACACTGGCATCGCCGTCCACACCCTGGGGGGATGGTGGGTGGGGTGTCAGGGTCCCTGGCGAGCCACCACCATGGCCCTACACCTGCAGGGGAGACAGAGAAGGACCCTGGGGCCCAGTACCTGCTCTTCCCTGGGGTCTGCGGGCACGTGCAGCACATTGCGCACCAGCAGCAGGATTCTCTCGATCAGCAGCATGTCCTCTTCCTGCCGATGCTCCCAGTCCTGAAGCCAGAGAGCCATCAGGGCCCCCTGTAGCCCCCATGCAGGGACAGACCCCACAGCCCCCCAGAGCCATGCAGGGACATGGGACTCACCAGCTGCAGCAGGTCGTAGAGCTTCTCACTCAGCACCCCAAAAACCTTCTCACTGGCAAAAGCCTGCAAAGAGCCCATGTGAGCGAGGGGGGATGCAGGCAGAGCCCCCTCCCAGGGCCCCTCCCTGGGCAGACTCACCTCTTTGTAGGCCTGCAGGTAGGACACCACCTGGAGAAAGTGGTGCCGAGAGGTGGCATCCGGGGGCACCTTCCCAAAGCAGAGCAGAGCCGGCTGCGTCAGGTTCACCATCAGCCTGTGGTGGAGAGCTAGGGTGTGAGGGACCCCTGCTCCGCAAGGAACCCCTGCGGGGACACCCCTGACCCGCAAACCCCCAATACCTGATGACGGCATCAAAGAGCACCTTGTCCTGCGGGTACTGGACGAGGATAGGCAGAAGATCGTTCTGCAAGATCTGGGCGACTCCCAGCTGCTGCCGCACGTCCCGGGTCTCATCCTCATGGCGCAGGAACTGGATCAGGTCCTTGATGCTCTCTGGAGTGGGGCACAGGGCCATGAGACCCTGCTGCCCCTGGCCTAGACCACCCTCCCAGCGCCCACCTACCCAGGCAGTCAGGCTCGCGGTGGTACACTTCGCCCTCCAGGTA